AGAAGTGGCAAAGCAACGCCAACGGAGGCTAAAGAGCAGAGGATGACTCGTGCAGCTTATAAGCGTAAAGAGAAGGAGCAACGTAAAAAAGAGCCCAAAGAGAATTCTCCTGGAAGTGCATCACCGCCGGTGGGAGGAGCAAGACCCAAGAGTTATGCAACACACGCAGCTCTGTCAGAGTTTGATGGTGTCTTCTCCAGGCTGCGTGCCAAGGGAGATGGCAAAGTTTTTGACCTGGAATGTTAATGGATTGAATTCTCCTCAGAAACGGAAAAAAATCTTTTATTATTTGAAACAACATACCAATGATGTTATTTGTTTACAGGAAACTCATATTCTACTTAAAGATCAGAAATATTTAGTTAATGCTCGTTTGGGATCTCATTTTATATCTCCTGCACCTGGGAAGAAAGGGGGAGTTGTTATATATGTCAAACAAAACCTGCCAGCTTGTCTGGTAGAATCAGATCCCCAGGGGAGATATGTGATGATTGAACTTGGTATTTATGGTAAGAAAGTACTTATAGTTGGACTTTATGCTCCAAATCAACAACAGGAACAATTTTATAAACAGTTACACCAAAAAATAACTTTGCTTGATTATAGATCGGTGGTATTAATGGGTGATTGGAATGGTGTCTTAGATACACAAAGGGATAAGAAAGGTTCCTCTCCTTTTCTTAAACAAGCAAGGCTACCTAAAGCCTTTTTTGATATGAAAGAAGACTGGGAATTAAGGGACTATTGGCGGGAACGTAATCAAGAGGAGAGAGACTTTACTTTTTTTTCTGACAGACACCAATCTTTTTCAAGAATTGACTTTTTCTTGATTACCACGGATTTGTATAATAAAGTAAAGAATGTAAAGATTTTTCCTAGATCACTGACGGATCATAGTCCAGTTTGGATGGAGTTGATTCAAGAGAAAGAGGAAAGAAGATCCTGGAGAGTTAATGAAAATTTGTTTAGACAAGAGAAGAATGTTCAAAAACTAAAGGAGTGTTTAAAGGACTATTTTGCTTTGAATATGTATAAGGGGACTTCAATGTCAATGGTATGGGATGCAGGTAAAGCATTTATGCGCGGTGTTTTGATAAAAATGAATAATTTTTATAAGCGAAATCAGACTCAGAAACGTAGAGAACTTGAAGATGAAATTAAACTAAAAGAAAGGGCTTTGATTCTAAATCCTTCTGATGAAAGTACTAAAGAATCTGTAAAGTTATTAAGGTCACAATTTAATATGTTGATAGCAGATCAAGCTGCAACCAATTTATTATTTATGAAACAAAATACATTTTGTAATGCTAATAAGCCGGGGAGATGGTTGGCTTATCAATTAAGAAAGAAACAGAGACTGAGAATAATAGAGAAAATAAATTATAAGGGTAAACTAGTTTCTCAGAAGGAATTAATTAAAAAATCTTTTTTGGATTATTATCAAAACCTATACAAATCTACTAATGTACAACTGTTAGATATAAATAAATATTTAGCTGAGGCAAGTTTTCCTAAACTGACTGAGGATCAGAAATATGAAATTAATGGTTTAATTACTAAGGAGGAAATCGCCTCAGCAATTCAACAATTGAAATTAGGGAAAGCACCGGGTACGGATGGGTTAACAGCTGTTTATTATAAAGCTTTAATGGAGGAGATGATTCAACCATTAAATGATCTTTTTAATGGTATCTTACAGGGTTTAGAGATTCCTCCTTCATGGCGTAGTGCTTTTATATCATTGATTCCAAAGGAGGATCAAGATCTTACTTTACCAAAAAACTATAGGCCTATATCTCTTTTAAACGTGGATTATAAGATATTTGTAAAAATTTTGGTAAATAGGCTTATGAGGGTGGTGCATCATCTTGTGCATAAAGATCAATCAGGGTTTATAACAGGAAGGTATATGAAAAACAATGTTAGACAAATTATTAACTTATTAGAATACTTAGATAAGAACAACCAAGTTCCTGCAGGGCTCATATTTTTAGATGCTGAAAAAGCATTTGACCAACTGAATTGGCATTTTATGCTAAGAGTAATGGAAGAAATGAATTTTGGTGAAAACATATTACAAGCCCTTAAGGTAATATATCAAAAACAAACAGCACAACTTATTGTTAATGGAGGTTTGTCGGAGGTTTTCACAATAGAGAAAGGTACTAGACAGGGGTGTCCTTTATCGCCATTGTTGTTTGTTTTAACATTGGAAATATTATTGATTAAAATTCGAGAGTCTCAGGAAATTAAAGGAATATATGTTAACAAAAAAGAATATAAGTTGAGAGCTTTTGCGGATGACTTGGTTGTTACTTTGTCGCAACCTGATTATTCTGTAGTAAACTTATTACAGTTGATTCACCATTATGGTTTGGTCTCGGGTTTTAAGATTAATGTAAATAAGACTAAAATTTTACCTAAAAATTTGTTGAGTCAGGAGAAGCAGATTTTGGTTAACTCGACGGGTTTTGAGATTGTTAATAAGGTAAAATATTTGGGGGTGATGCTGTCTGTTTCTAATGCAAAACTATTTAAAAATAATTATGAAAGGTTGTGGGTCGGGGTACAGAAAGACTTGAAGAATTGGGAAAAGCTGCAATTATCCCTCATGGGAAGAATTGCAGTGATAAAAATGAATATTCTACCCAAGTTTCTTTTTTTGTTTCAAATGTTACCAATTTTGAAAAATGAGATTAATTTAAATGAGTGGCAGAAGGGTCTCAATAAATTTATTTGGGCAGGGAAAAAACCAAGGGTTAAGTTCAAAATTATGCAAGACTTCCGTGAGAGGGGCGGACTCAAGGTACCAAATTTGAAATTATATTATGATGCGGTGGTTTTAACATTAATTAGTGACTGGGTAAATTTGACAAATTCTGAGATACTTTATCTAGAGGGATGGGATTTACTTTATGGGTGGCATGCCTATTTAATATTTAATAAAAAAATAGATTGGGCTTTTAAATCTCATATTTTAAGAATTTCTTTACTTAGGATTTGGAGAAAATATTATAAAAGTGATTTTAAAGTACCATTATGGGCTATACCTTGGCATGCGATAGAAGGAATAAAAAGAGGGGTTAAAATGGATATGGTGTCTTACAGACAGTTACTTAAATGGGATGGACAAAACTGGCAATTAAAATCACGGGAAGAATTAGCACAAGAAAATTTTACTTATTCTTGGTTCCAATATAGGCAACTACTAGATAGATGGAAGATGGATTGTAAGGTGGGTTTTCTTAGAGAAGATGAAAATCTTATTAAGCAACTGAGGGATCAAAGACAAACCCACATTAAGAGAATTTATGGGGTTTTAGTTGAATTGGACTCAGAAACGGAACTAATTAAAGATTGTATGATTAGATGGGCGCAGAACTTTGGTGAGCCAGTTTCATTGGACACCTGGGAAACTATTTGGGTGAGAAATGTCAAATTTACTCAAGCACAGAATCTAAGGGAGAATTTTTATAAAATGTTTTATAGATGGCACCTTGATCCACAAAAAATGTCTTACATGTACCCTGACGTGCAACCTAAATGTTGGAGATGTGGTTATAAGGAGGCTTCCTATTATCATATTTGGTGGTCATGTAGAGAGATAAAAGCATTTTGGATCAAAATATGGTGGAATATCCAGAGAATTTTTAGAAGGAGGGTAAAATTTACTCCGCAATTATTTTTGTTAGGTATTGTTACAGATTGTGATACAAAGGAGGTTGTATTGATGTTAAACTTGATCACAGCCGCGAGGCTGTTAATTGGACAATATTGGAAGAAGGAATCTTTGCCTACATTGCAGGAATGGTTTTTTAAAGTAGCTTATCTGGCAGAAATGGCAAAGATTTCGGCTTTCTTAAAGCAACAAACGCAAGAGAAGTTTTTTGCTATCTGGGACAAATGGATAAAATTTATACAATTTAGATTGGGTATACAAAAATATTATATAGCTTTTTCATAAGTTTTATTTTTATATATATTATAGATATCTTTTTTATATATATAAATATAAAGTTTTTAATTTAATTTTTATTTTTTTTTTTTTTTTTTTTATTATTATTATTTCTTAAGCCTATATTCTGCTCTGGGAAGCTCAGGGGGGGGGAAGGGAGGGTTTTTGGGAGGGGTGTGGGGTGGGGGTTTTTTTTATATGTATTGTTTAATTTTTTTTTTCTTTTGTATATGTTGTTTTTTGTTCTGTATTGTTCTTGTTTTTTTTTGTAAAATTTATAAAACTTTTAATAAAAAAAAAAAAAAAAAAAAAAAAAAAAAGAAAAAAATAAGGATAAAGAAATGAAATATATAAACAAATTCTTTCCCCTTCATCACAAGTATAAACAATTTCCGTAACATCACTTTTTCTTAAAATGCAGCAAATAATATCTTATTTCCTATCTCTTATCTATAAAAAATATTTAAACCTCATTGTTTCAGTCCTGATCAGTAAAAGTCCATTGGGCGTTACCAGAGATAACATATCTATTTTAAACTTGATCAAATAACAAATTTTATATTCCTTTGACTTACTTTAAACAATCTCAATCTTTAGCGTTCTTTTTCTTTAATTGTAATGTTTACTTCCTTCTGGTTCACTATAATGTCCAATCTTCAAAACCTCATCCTATCATGTTTTTTAAGAAAATTCAAAAGAGAAGCATTTTTCCATGGGAAGGATTCTTATAATTAATTCCCCAATCATATTTCAAATCTAGCCCTAGCCCTTTTTTTAACTCTCTAATCAAAGGTCTAATCACCTTTTTGCTATTTATTCCAAAAGAACTTTTTAAATCCTTCAATTTGTACTGAAAACATATTTTGCTAAGGATTAAAAGAAACTCACATAGTGCTGCAAAATTTGTCAATCCAAAGCTTCCTAAGAGCTGAAAAGCAGTTAACAAGTAATTTCCAAAAGTAATTAGAAAGGGAAGTATGCAAACCCAGTGTCCTTTTGAAGTGGCTGACTGTGCTTTAAGCAAGATTACTATTACTTTATCTCCCAGAGCTCTAAACCCACCAGAGACCGCTGACTTGCTGTGTCCACATGAGGAAACACGGTCTGGAGCATTTGTGGATGATTTCATACCCTCTTCTTGTCTGGTCTTCTTGCTAGGTCTTCATTCTACTGCAGTCATCAGTTCTGCTTTTAACACAGCTGTCTTCAGTTTGCAATGTCTTCCCTGAAAGTCCCTTGATTATCTTTTATCAGCACAGAAAAGAAGAAGGCATTTATCTCATGTGTATTTAATTATCCTAAAGCATCGTGAAAAATATTGCACAACTCCACTCTCAAGTCTCTCTATTTTTTTTAGCAATCTATTATAGTGTTTCCAGACTTTGTACCCTCTCTATAGCCTGGAGATTATGGGAACTATCTTGGAATTATGAGAATTTAAAGACTCCAGGCTATCATACTATATGAAATCTATCACTTGCATGGTAAATAAATATTTTTTTAAAAAAAAATAAGTATAATATTTCTTGTTTTATTGGGCATGTAACACGTGTTGGAAGAGATGTTAGAATGAACATCTTCACATCTATTTTCTAATTGCTCAATAAGATTCAATAATTTCTTGGCCTTGTACTTTAATATATTCTAAAATATTCATACGTCATGGCTTGCAATAATGTTCTGAGGTGGCTAATCAATAAATTCTACTGCAATGAACTATCAGAGTTCATTTGCTATTATTCCTCCATCCTGTAAATTTTGCAGTTTTTCATGACTCCAAGTCCGCTTGCCTTACCCTTCTTTCTGGCTTTCTCTTTTCTCATACACTAATCCTGAATGAATAAGTGTCTATTTTAGCCTTCAAGGCTTGACAAAATGGCTGGATGACAAAGCAATGAAAGCTCTTTATGACTTTTGAGCCTCTGCAGCAGTATTTATTGCTAAGCAACACAGATTTATGTCAAAGAGATTTACCAATTGCAGATGGTGTGTAGGTTTATTAAAATTTGAGATACTTTTGGTACCACTCTTTCAAACTGCACTTAAAATACTAGCCCAAAGCATTGGTATGCATGAAGGGCAAGGCCAGAGGGAGGGATGGTGAGAAAAAGTATTAATGTGACAATATTTAATCATGTTTCTATGAGATTCTATATTTTTTTTCCAGAGGACTCCTTTAAGTGAAGATCGCCCGTGTTGCTATATCCACAAAAAACATTCAGTAAAAAAAACGTATAAAATGCACAAGAAGGAACAAGGAAAGAAATTAGCCAACTCTAAGTTGCCAACTTCTCCTGAAGAAAAAAAACTCAGCCTTCCAAATCCACACCTCTTACCATGTTCGCTTTTTATTCACTAAACCTATTTGTATGCTGCCATAATCAAAATGATTGCTGGCAGCCTACAGAAACAAAATGCAATTTAAAACATACCCAGTGCAAAAGATTAAAACGTGGCAATAAGACATACAGATGAAAAGAGGAGAGGGGAGAAGAGAGAAACAAAGATGGCAACATCAGTAGCTGTCTAGTTCACCAACTCTCATTTCCTGAAGCTTTTTCTTCACATACTCTTCCCTCACATTCCTGATTCTCAATCCATGACCAAATCACATTTTGCAATTTCCTTAGCCATCTTATCTTTGGGTTTCCTGTTCCTTGACTTCCTATCTTCATCTGTCTTCAGTATAATGTACAAATTTTTCCCTGTTTTCTTTCTTTCTGGATGAAAATTTACAGGTTTAACTACTTTAAGGACATTCCCTTCCCTTACAAAGGTAAGCTGTACAATTGAAATGCTTGTCAATGTCTCTTTCAGATCAACCAGTTTAGATCATTAGTGCAATAAAATTTGAGGACAAAATCCAGTCAGTTTCAAACCCCCTGTACCATTTTTTTACACAGAGAAGGTGTTTTCTAACAGATTTCCTCTTGCTCCTGTCTTCGCACCCTCAGCATTTTTTGTAAATTTGTTAAATGATCTTAACCACGTTTAGCAGTAAGTAAGTAACTCCATGGGAATTGACACCCTTAATGGTCCGAATGATGCATAGAGCAGACCTAACGATACAATCTACTAGAAAAACCAACATACATACATACAATCAACTTTAGTGATGGCATACCTGCCAAAATGTGGATGATACAAAATATCTTTTTTTCCCAGGGGAAAAGGATTTATTACATGAGCATGAGCATGAGCAAAAGAAATTCAGAAAATATGTTCTGTATCTATGACCCATTGAAGTAAAAGGGATTTCAGTACACTTACGAATGAAATTGAAATATGCCTATTATAAAATAGTTTTTAAATGATTCGTGAATATTAAAATGTGAATATTATTAGACATAATAAAACAACTGACAGCAGAGTAAGTATTTGAAGGTACATACAAACTATATCTAAGCCCCTTAAGAAATAGAAAGCTCGTTGTTATGTAAAATTGGTTGTATTTTACTAAATGCAAATGAATTGGTAAGGAACCAGACAAGAAATGGGCATTATCAAAATATTATTAATTCTAATAAAATACTAAAATATTTAATAATATTTAATAAAATATTATTTAATGGGCATTGTCAAAATATTATTAATCCTAATAAAATACTAAAATATTTAAAAATATTTAATAAAATATTATTAATCCTAATAAAATATATTCAGAGTTCAACTTCACTACTGGGAAACTATGTAATCCATTTAATTCACTACCTAAGATGAAGGTTCATTACATAACGTACCATCTGTTGTTTTGCCTGCAAAACACAAGACTTTTGACCTTTGCATATTGTGTTCTTATTCTTCTTGGAAGTTGGAAGTAAGTGAAGAAACAAAGAATGGGTATTTTCTAGTTCTACAGATGTATTGCTCTGTTCTGAGTGATTTGTTACAGACATCAGCAAGGGCGCCAGATTTCCAACTGGTGGTAAAACCACACACGCAGTGCTGCCGAACAGCTCAGATTATATAGCTACTTGGCAGAGACAATACCCTGATCAGAACAGCTCAGTTTAGTTGACTTTCTGTATATAGTTATTCCTTGTATTTTTCTATTGACTTTTTTTAGATTTGTACAAAAATTAATAAACGTCCTCATTTTTCTAATTATAGTATTTTTGTATGCCATTTTATCTCCTTAAATCAGGAGTGTCAAACTGCTGGCCCGCGGGCCGGATGCATCATAGCAAAACCGCCCCCATCCCATTGCTGGCAATGGTAAAAAAGTTGCGATACGTTGCGACACGTCACATGATGTTGCGAGTTGGACACCCCTGCCTTAGGACTTACAAACAGTCTCTTCAGTATAATGCAGTTTTGTGTCTTTCATTTCATTAATATTTCTCTTAAAAATGCTGTATCGTCTACATTATTTATTGGAAAATTGCATCATGGCATTTGGAGAAGTGCATATTTAGAAGAATTGCTTTGATCTGTTCATTAGTTCAGAAGTGCAAAACTGGACATGTTTGTATGAAAATGCAAACAAACAAATTTATCTTTGGTCCTTAAATGGCAAAACAATAGGTCATTTAGCTATATGGTTATACTATAATGATATGTCTCTCTCATTGAAGATTCATGGTTTGATTTTTATTTTATTTTTTTTACATTTTTAGTATACACAATGGATACAGAAGAAGTTTTCTTGTCCCCAAGGAAACATTTTTATCAACAAATACATTTTCTTGTCAGCAATCTTTTTGCAAAGCAAATGTGGAGGATAAAGCACAAACAGGTGGCATTTTATTAAAAGAAGAAAGCATGCATCTTGAAATTAGATTAGGTTAAAAACACAGCAACTTTAAGGAAAATGTTCATTTCGAAATGTATCTCTGTTATCAGCTCTGAACTTAGTGGTTTATCGAAGAAAAGACAAGGAGAAAGAAACATGTTCCTCTGCAAACAACTACGCTATAATCAAGCATTCCCTGATGTGAAGTGAGGCTAGACCTGTGTATAGATTACAAATTCTCTTTTTGGGACTGCCTATCCTGTTTTAATTATTAATAGCAGAAAATAGTGTAAGAATTAAAATAGATGTTTCTGTAAAAAAGGAGAATATTTTCAAAACTTGGGAAAAAACCCTCTGTTTAAGGGGGTTTAAGTGTTTAATACATAAGGTTGGTGCTCTCTATAAATCACATCCACATGTAGTTGATAACAATATGCTGATAGATAAAAGAAAAATCTTCTTTTACTATCTTGACTGAATTGCTGAATTGAAAGGCAAATAAAATCAGTCATCATTTTTGCCTTTCAAAATCCTATCAACAAAGCTCAGACTTTTCAATATGTCTCATTCATTCATTCATTCATTCATTCATTCATTCATTCATTCATTCATATGTATCCTGCCTTTATTATATATGGATAGCCCCCTAATGTGCAATAAACCTTCTCAGGTAAATATATGGAACTACATTTATATTTTGGATCTTTCAAATGTTGCTTGAACTAGAATACAATTCTCACCATTATCCATGGCAGCTAGGGTTGCTATGAGCTGTAGTTTGATCATTGCCTCAAATTCCTGATACAAATTAATATCATACCTTAGTGCAGACATGTCAAACACAAGGCCCGGGGGCCGGATGCGAAGTGGTTTCATGTGTCCCACGAAGCCATCCTGGAAACACTGAGGGAACGGCCCCCGCTGCCTTGGCCCTAGCCCAGGCCGGCCAGGAGCCAGTGTACAATTTTGTGGTGGCCATCTATGCTGAAATGCATTCAGTCTTAGCTCCACAAGACCATCTGGAAACAGCGAGGAACCAGCCCCTGCCATGTCGGCCCTGCCCCCTAGGTGCATGCTGGGGAAGTGTCACACTTTGTGAGGAATGAAGAAATGCACCATCACCTGGAAGTGGCCAGCAAATGGCCCTTGCCTACTTCACATATCCGGCTTGATGGGCTCTGGGGGAGGGTTTTCGGCAGGCAGTGGGGCGCTCTCCTCACAGCGCCGAGAGGCTGAGCCAGGTGGCGCAAATCCAAAAAGAAGCACGATGCTGCCCAGCCCCCGGCCTGCCCAGCAGGCAGGCAGGGCACTCTCCTCACAGCGTCAAGAGCTAAGCTAGGTGGCACAAAACTGATAAGAAGTGCAATGCTGCCTAGCCCCCAGCCTGCCCAGTTTCAGCAGGCAGCAAGGTGCAAAGCTGACGAGCTTCGCACCACCCAGCTTAACGTCTCGGCACTGTGAGGAGAGCGCCCCGCTGCCTGCTGAGACTGGGCAGGCTGGGGGCTGGGCAGC